CTCCTCTGATACCTGGCTCACCTTGTTGACCTGGTGGTCCTGGTAACCCCCGTGGTCCTGGCAGACCATCTTCCCCTGGCATTCCTGGCTTTCCTTGAGGTCCTTCCCGTCCATCTCGCCCTGGTGGCCCTGCGGTAATGCTTGCAATTCTCCTTATAGTCAGAAAATTTAATTAAAGCTAATGACCATGTAAAGCTTAATGAAAGCTCCGGTGTCGGCTGCATTTGCTTTTTTTTGTAAAATTTCACTCCAATTTGTTGCAATACGTTTCCGACACATTATTTTTCACATTTAATCAATATGAAAGGTTTTGGATCCTATTGCTTTTTATAATATGCAAGCTATAATTAAGCTACCAATTTGTTTACTTATTCATTAAAATATTATTATAATATTAATTTCCATGCGGCGGAATGATAATTACAATATCAGTCCCTTCATCGATTCAGAGTTTCATTAAATCCAATTTTTATTTCTAATATAAACAATCTTTTGTTCTTTCTGTTGATTAGCTGTCTTTTTTCGTTATAATTCAAAACATCAGAGAAGCAAAAGAATTATGTGATTTTGCTACTGAATCTTTTCATGACTTGAACTTTAGTTGAATTTGCCAAAAGAAAGAAGTTTAAGGTTGAATGATTCAAATAATTTCAGAAATTAAAAAAAGAGAAAACTTATCCATAAACAACTGATTTAGTCAGTCTCCTATTATATCAGTTGTTTTTGTTTTTCTAAAGATCAAATCTTGTTGCTCTATCCATCTACCCGAATCCTCTATCAACCGTTGGTCTTCTCAGTCAACCGAATCTTCCTTTCATTGACTTTAATTAAGTCCTTTCATCGATTCGTAGTTTCATTATATCCAATTTTTATTCTTGATATAAATAATCTTTTGTTCTTTCTGTTGATTAGTTGCCTTTTTTCTCATTATATTTTTGATCGCATCGAATAATTTGTCAAAGTTATTATCAAAATGACTAATAGCGTTATCATCCTTGTGACAAAGCGAGATCTGTCACCAGTTGACAATTATTCCGACTTCATTTTCACTCATCAAAAAGCAAAACATTCTTACGATTTTACACCTTAATCTTTTAATAGACACAATATTACTTTTCCATATACGTGTTTATGCACGTATCGGAATTTATATTCCGACAATTATAGATGAAATTTTGCACCATAATTATTTCTAAAGCTCAGTACATTGCTTTACATCGGGAAAATCAAACCTGAACTATATTAGAATCTGCCAAGACGAAGAAATTATGAATCCCTGAAAGATTAGAGATAATTCCTTAATATAAATTAAATTTCAATTCGAGTCATAAAACTTTTTCTCAAATTTCTGTCGTATTATAACAGTGAGGAAATTCATATTTCTGTATTTTAATTAATCAATTATCAGTTACCTTAAGGAGGGAGAATAATGAGATGATTTAATTGACGAAGGGAAATAAGGGAACGGTTTCATTTATGTAAAATTTCAGTTCGGGGATGATCTTTTAAAACATTTTCTAAATGATCTTCTAAAACTGTTTCAGCATTCTCTTTTCTTACGCTTTTTGCAAAGTTCGAAAAATCGAACTTTTGACGTTACTGCCCACAAAACTAGTTTCAAATTATTAGTACCAATGCATCTTTTTTAATATTTTCCTGTTTGCTGTTTGCGCTATTATCGTAGTCCAACTAAGTTCCGTAAAAGGTTACGTGCAAAATGTTATAGGTGAAAAAAACTGTAAACAATAGGCATATAAATTTTATTTTCAGGCTTGCAGTCTATCGTTACTAGAAGTACCGGCAGGATCTCCAGGATGAGATGGACGAGAAAGAATTCCTCGTGACCCAGGAGTTCAAAGTCACAAATGGTCCACCAGAAGAAAAAGGAGTTCAAGGAATTCAGAAAGGCAGCAAAGGACCGCAAGGACTGCAAGGACCAAAAGGTGTCTATGAAAGCTAAAGCTTTTCATGAACGGTAGGAAGATTCAGTTGACTGGTAGAAATTCAATAGTTGATAAAGAATTCGGCAGATGGAAAGAAAAGCAAGTTCTGAGCTTTCGAGAAGCAGAAGTGGTTTAAGATATCTATGATGTCGGTTATCAGCCAATTAATTGATTCTCAGGAATTTCTGAAAGTCCTCGCATTTTTGATAAAGCAATGAATTGTGAAATAGAACACTGTCACAGTGGAAAATGAATTATTCCTATCGCCTGAAAAGCAGTTTCCCTTTCTTAACGGTAGTGATGACGTTCTGAACCACAATTTGTGATAATATTACGAACGATCTTGGTCATCAGTATTACCAACTAACGATCGACTCTATCTGGGATATTCTCTGATAATTGTCTTATACATCAATCGATAAAACCTTTATCTCATCCGTATTTGCATATTACTAAACCGCTATACCTCTATAACACACATATTTCTCTGTGCCAATTCAATATCAACAAAAGCAAAAAAACTTCTACGACAATTCGATGCATTATAAATTTGATCGATTTCAAATATTTTTTGCTTTGATTATTCTGAAACAATTTCTTTTTAAAAATGAAATCTCTATCAATAATATTTTAGCAATCATTGAGTTGTCGCATTGAATTGTTTAAATTTATATTGAACTAGCTTTAATTCTTTTTTAATTTGAAACAAAATTTAATCAAGTTGCTGTTGTTGATTAATAGAATATTTGTTGACAGGTGAAAAATAAAGTTTGCTATAATCTAAGAAGAAACGATATGCAGAGATTATGGTAATGGAAAGACATCTGAGAATCCAGACGACCGACAAGAATTGTTGATACTGTAAAAGAGATAATTCGATATATCGAAAATCTGTGAAATAATCAAAATGTATGAAAAATAAGAATTGGTCAAATTCCAATATATATTATTTCAATACTGATATTTCCATCCTTGAACTAACTGATTCGCTTCTAATAGCTGTGAATTTTTTATAGTCGTAAATTTTTTCTTCTTTATAGCTGTGGATTTTTTTAACCGAATGACAGCCTTTTGAGCTGGATCAATATCTAAAAAATTCTTGTAGGACAACTCGTTTCTCATTCAACCCGTCTCCACCAACCTTCCTTGCAAATAATTCGATCTATGGTCCGGGAAATTTGAGAAATACCGATGTTATAGGATTCTCATAGTGTGGGAGATGAGTGTGTGATACATTAAACTATTCATTTTGGAAATTCATATGAAATAAACTCTACATCCGTTTGAGATGATTCGTTTTAATTTAACATTAACAATTATCGTCCATATAAGTAGCAGCAATGTACAGATGATATGATTATCGTGGAGCTTCATTTTGTTTTCTGGAAGAAGGATGGACTTTTTGAAAAGCAGTAAGCTATTCGGATTTTTTTATCAGAGATAAGACACCGTTTCATTTTCAATTTTTCAAACTATTTCGTAAAACTCAGAAGATGGCAGAATTGGTCGGAAACTTAATTGTAATGTTGAATGAAAATCTGAAATTCAATGGATGAGATCAAGTTTTGAAATGTTAGGATATCACATTCCCAAAAATCAAACCAGGCAGATTCCAATATTAATTTAAATGAATTATTTAAACTTTTTTCATTACAAAGGACACATTCTTTCAGTAAAAGAAAAAAACGATATAACTGAAAGGGATATTTCGTTATCTTTAATAATTTCAATTACTGAAAATTATTCTTTTTCTTTTAGTGTTCCGCAGATTTTCAACCGATTCCACACCAGCAATCTTACAAAAACCAATTTCATTATTCAATGTTTCTGTTTTGGACCGTTCATTATGATCCCGATTTCCAGTAAGATTAGATTAACTTCTGGATGATAATGAATAATCCAATTTCTACTTCTACTATAACCCTCTGTTCTACAATGAATTGTTTCCCACATTCAGAAAGTTGAACATAAGCTTCTGCTCAAACTGGAAAAATCAAAATTGAGCAATTTAAAAATTTTCAGAACTTCTTACAAGATAAATCAATTGCAAATAACCGATACTGATGATATATCCCTTAGGTTATTTGCAGATTTCAAACCTAATCGTCCATCATCCTCCCACACTGATCCATCAACCAGTGATCTCCTATAAATCAACAGAATCTTATTTTCGTTCACTTTAAATCATCGCATAAAATGATCTGTTTAGCATTTGCAGATACTGTCAATAATCTTTTAATGCTGCATTCGATGCGATATTTGGGAATAATGAAACAGCGTTATAACAGCTAGTATTTGTTAATAAGGTTGTTCACGCTGTTGGATGAATTTTCCATTCGGCCTTTCGTACTTTACTGATCAAGTTCTTTGCATCAAAATTTGGATGAAACATTTATTCGATGAAATTTTACAACTAATTCATAGTTTAATCCACAAGAATTGCTAACAAGATGACTAATGAACTCGGTATGCCTGTTTCATAGTCTGCAATTGTTGAATACATCATCTTCCGGATTAAATTACTCTCAAAGCACAGCTTAGTTTACAGTGTTATCATAGCTCTTTCCCATTGAATCAAAAAGAAATTTCAATTAATCCAGCAGAAACTTCAGGTGAGTATTCAGGTGAGTCATTTTGGTCTTTTCAGATTTAAATCTATTAACCTGTATTAACTTCATTAGTTCATATGAATTTTGTGCTGATAAGCAACTTTTCAGTACCAATACATATCGAAAAGATTGAAGAAGCAATTGAAGAATTTAAAGCGATAGATAAATTACAACAGTTGAAACAGTAATAATTCTTATTTCTCATTCCTTTACAATGTCTGATTTTTAGATAGTTTAATATTATCTATCTTCAACTTTGTTATNAAAATGATATATAATTCTTGTTCAAAAGAACGTGCACAAATTGAACAAAATTTTTTTACTAACATGATAATTATAACAAAGTTGAAGATAGATAATATTAAACTATCTAAAAATCAGACATTGTAAAAGAATGAGAAATAAGAATTATTACTGTTTCAACTGTTGTAATTTATCTATCGCTTTAAATTCTTCAATTGCTTCTTCAATCTCTTCGATATGTATTGGTACTGAAAAGTTGCTTATCAACACAAAATTAATATGAACTAATGAAGTTAATATAGGTTAATAGATTTAAATCTGGAATGACCAAAGTGACTCACCTGAATACTCACTTGAAGTTTCTGCTGGATTAATTGAAAATTCTTTTTGATTCAACGGGAAGGGTAAGCTTTTCAAAAGTGGAACCCATGAAATAGCGGATAAGTTACGACCCTGAAAATAACTATATTTAAGAAAATATATCAGGAAACCCGAGGGAGAGATTGTAAATATTATACGAAGAGTCATTACACCGAGACAACTTCCAAGAAAAATCGGTTCTGAAAGTTCGGAAAATTAAAAAAATATACTTTCAGATAATTGGCATATTGATTTTTCGCATCATGGGGTAATGCATTGTTGATTTTGACATATGTCTTTTCGTCTAGCCTTAAAATATAAAATGATACTAACATGAATTTTGAGTGCTTACATATTCAAGCTTGACCTTTAACTGCTTACAATTTCAACTTGACCGAATAAAGCGAATTACCTGTAGCTATTTAATTGATCTAAAGTTGTGAAAAAGTCACATGTTTGTGGCAAAATAAGCGACATTGATGTAGCTATTGGACTGTATGCCCAAGATTTATGAAACGATATCAACGGTCTGAACAGTACTTCCTATAAATATACGTGATGTAATTGTCAGCTATCTAAGCTAAATAGAAACTATACTAAATATTCTCCTAAGACATTCTGAATAATGGTATGGATACAGAATTCTACCGAAAATGAAATATATAATATTCTGGAAATATATAAGCCATCTGTTGTTGTCCGAACGAAATCAAGACAATTATCAATACAGCATGGTAAATAATCGTAGCATTAATCTATTTCTAATAATTTCTTGCTTTTGGAATACTTTAATAATAATCATGCGAGAGTTTTTTGCGTGATTGATTATCGTATTCAAAATTCTTACCAAAAACATATCTCCACCAATGTCGTTGCATCGCTTGTTATACTTTTCCCGTAAGCAGTTAATATAACACGATAATATGCTAAAAAATTATTTTCAGAAAATTCCAAAAAATACGGAAAGACCGATTCAACATTCCAACTTGATATAGATAAACATGTTTAGTTTTTAATTTTTCAAGTTTTTGTCGGTTGGAGAACAAATCAGCCAAGTTCGTTTATTCAATAGACATGTTTAGCTGTAACTTATTCTGTTTTCTCACAATTAATTTGAAAAAAAGAAGAAATATGTGTAAACATACCTACATGCACCGCCGCTCATCTTATTGAAGTATTGCATATTAATTCTAACCGGTATTACAGATTCCGGTACTGAGAAAGGTAAAATGGAGTGAATATAACTGTATAAGAACCATCCAAGTATTTGACGAGTTGCTTTACATCTTTCTTGGCATTCTGAAAGATTTGCATATTATGAATTCTGACATATTATGAATCCTTTTTTCCTCCTTATCTATTATTACTTTTCTTAAAGAGTTAAAATATTGTAAATTGATTTTAAGTTTAATTAATATGTAAATTATGCTTATAGCAGACTTACCACGCAAAACTGCTGTCGAATGAAGATCCAAACATTCAAAAATATACTTGAAAGCTGTAATAAAAGGGTACACTTAATATGATAAATTCATGAAATGAAACATAACAAAAAGCGCATCAGCTCAAATTGCCTGAAAATTGATCCTTGCAGAAATGTCGAAAACTATTTAACAATGATTCAGTTCCTGTTTCTTTTGAACACTTTCCGGATATGTGATTGGTACATTCTATCACTCCAAGTAATCGACTAAAATGATAATAAGAGCGAGAATTACATTATTGAACGTAAAATATACTTATATTTGCATTACGTTAAGAACAGATTTTATGATGAAGAGAAAAATAAAAATGTGTATGACGAGGAAAATGATAAAAAGTATACTTATGTTACGCGAAATACGCTGGAACAAAACGCACTTGCAGATGTTAACAAATCGCTCGAAGTGATTTCCTGATACCAATGCTGCTC